TGTAATTATTTGTTATTATGGCATGGAAGGTGAATGCATGGGATGAGAGAACGGATGACTGTATGGAGAGTGTCACAGTATTATGTGTTTACATACTTTCTTTGGGTTCCTAAACGGAAAAAGAGAAATATTTCCTTGGTTTAAAATTGTACGAAATGATTTGCATTTGTCTATGAAAACTGATAACAGTCTGAGTGTCTTGCGGAATATAATATATTAAATAGTGATAATGGCTGTGTGGTCATCAACCACATGTTTACATCAGATGTTGCATGTGATTCTCTGCTACCTGATGATAATTTGTGAGACATGGGCAAAGTATAAGTATCTCTTGATAGAACGCAACTCACGGTTCATAGGAAATTGGTTCACCAGGTGGAGGTCGGTGGATCGGCATCAACTTTCGCCGATAACGATAAGGCAAGAAAAAGTATCAACGAAAAAATTGGGGACTTTCTTACAGATTTCAAGATCAGCCCGACGAAGAAAAACACGGCATTCAAGCGACCTCCCAACGACTAAAGACGACAAAATAGGAAACTGCGATCGCCTTTGACAGAGGCGACTTCTTCTTACTCAAATGGTTCCTCCATCAAAAAAGCGCAAGCTCCCCATCGCGAACGGTCCCGCCACGAAACGATCGAAGTATACACCCAAACCTTCAAGCTCCAAGAAGAAGAGCGGAAAGGAGTCGCGCCGTGCCGTCGAACCCGGTGCGCTTTCCTGGGCTTCAGTCGGAGAAGACTTTGGTGGACTTGAGGTTATCGAGGGTGTGGACATTGTCAAGGATGGTAGCCGAGTGCAATTCTTGGTGTCTGGCGACAAGAACAAGAGCAACATAATCGACCCCCAACAAGAAGTTGTCGATGGCGATCAACCTTTTGAAGGGTTTGGCGACGACGCTGTGGAGGTCGGGGATATCGATTCCGGCGAAGTTGGCAGTGATCAAGCTGGCGCTGAGAGCAAGAAACCTCAAGGGAAGAATAAGGGCAAGAATGAGCCAAAAGAAGGGCAAGAAAAAGCAGACCAGGAAAGCAACAAAAAGCAGAAACAAAAACAAAACAAGAACAAACTGGATGGGAAGAACGGTGCCGGCAACAAACAAGACGAGCAGCTGGTCAAGGCCGCGCAAGGCGTACAAAAGTCCTCTGCACGCGGGGGCAACACGTTCGGCGCACTGGCCGATGGGAACGACTACGCAGACCAAGACGTCGACATGGCGGCCTGGGTTTCTCTGAACCTGTCACCCCAAATCATTTCTGCCATCGCAAAACTCAAGTTCATGAAGCCGACCAAGATTCAGAAGAGGACGATCCCCGAGATTGTGGCTGGCCATGACGTTATCGGCAAGGCGCAAACAGGTTCCGGAAAGACTCTCGCATTCGGTATTCCCATGATGGAGCGGTGGTTGGAGATGCAAGAGCAAGGTGTCGAGAGAACGGGTCCCATGTCTTTGGTGCTTTCTCCCACCCGAGAATTGGCCAAGCAGCTTGGAGACCATCTCAAGGCGCTCTGCGACGGCCTTCCTAGCGCACCATACGTGTGTGTTGTGACGGGTGGTCTCAGTATTCTAAAGCAGCAACGACAGCTGGAGAAGGCCGATATTGTTATTGGTACACCCGGTCGTCTTTGGGAGGTTCTTAGTGGTGACCGAGCTCTGCAAAGCAAGTTTGCCAAGATCAAGTTCCTTGTTGTCGATGAGGCGGATCGACTTTTCAAGGTTGGACAATTCAAGGAAGCTGAGGATATCATTGGTGCTCTCGATGGAAAGAGCCCTGGTGACGACGCCGAAAGTGAAGAAGAGGAAGACGAAGAAGACAAGGATGATGAGGGTAGCGCACGACAGACACTTGTCTTTTCAGCTACTTTCGATAAGGACCTTCAGACTAAGCTGGCTGGCAAGGGCAAATCTGCAGGAAACGACGACGAGAAGATGGCTTATCTGATGAAGTGCCTCAAGTTCAGGGGCGAGCCTAAATTCATCGATGTCAACCCTGTCAGCCAGATGGCTGATGGTCTAAGGGAGGGACTTATTGAGTGTGGTGCTATGGAAAAGGTGAGTCTACAGCACATATACACAACTTCACGATACTAACGAATTACAGGATCTTTACCTCTACACGGTTCTCATTCTTAACCCTGGCCGCCGCACTCTGGTCTTTACCAATTCCATCTCTGCTGTTCGCCGTCTTACACCTCTTCTTACGAACCTTAACCTCACAGCTCTTCCCCTGCACTCTCAAATGGCACAAAAAGCGCGTCATCGGTCTCTCGAACGCTTCACTGCTTCCCGCAACTCTATCCTTATTGCTACCGATGTTGCTGCACGTGGTCTTGATATTAAGGAGGTTGACCAAGTCTTGCATTACCACGTCCCCCGATCTGCGGATACTTACATCCATCGATCCGGTCGTACAGCTCGTGGAGAGTCTAGCGGTATTAGTGTGATCCTTTGCGCTCCTGAAGAGGTTCTTCCCACACGTCGTCTCGCAAGCAAGGTTCATGCCGAGCGCGGCGCGGGCACTAAAAGGGAGCATTTCATCCAGACTCTTCTTATTGATCGCAAAGCGGCATCGCGTCTTAAGCCTCGTGTGGACTTGGCCAAAAAGATTGCCGATACAATACTTGCCAAGGAAAAGGCCCACAGCGACGATACATGGCTGCGCAATGCTGCCGATGAGCTCGGTGTAGAATATGACTCTGATGACCTCGAAGAAATCAACGCGAGCGGTGGCAAAGGTGGTCGCGGTGGTGGACGAAGGAGAAAGGAGCAAACAGCCAAGCAGCTCACTAAAGCAGAGATGGGTGCACTCAAGGCTCAGCTGAGAGAGGAGCTGAGCAGGAGAGTGAATCTAGGTGTGAGCGAGAGATATATCACGGGCGGAAGAGTTGATATCAGTGCTTTGTTGAAAGAAGGACAGCAAGGTGGTATGTTTTTGGGCAACACGGACGGATTGGGCTTTGACCTGTAGTTGTTATGGAGATTTTGAGCGTGATTGAGTCTGGACATCTGGCTTAGAAGATGACGGGCTTTATTGATAATAGAACAAAAGTACCACCTTGTACATTTTTCTTTTCATGTTTCGATCATCATGTCTGACTGTCTATTCGTGATGAAGCAGATGAAAGCTGTGTGTATAACCATATCGAATATTGAATCCTCGCAACCGCGGGCAACGACCAAGTTGGCCGCGGAGGTGAATGTGGAGATTCTTCACCTTTAGCTATCCGAACTGCCTATCTATCATGCACGACTATGCAGATCAAATCATGAGGGCCACGGGCTCTATGGAAGTCGGAGTTATGACCATGGCTATCAAGAACCAATTCAAACATCTTCACGACAACAGTTGGTCTTGTGTACAGGATCGTCTATCAAGTTCATCGACAGAGGTGCTTTTTCGTATCGAGGAATCGCTATCAAACAATATACTTGGGACCTTACCTATTCGTATCTAGTCAACTTACCCCGGCCTAGATCCACAACACCATGCAAGCCTCCGAGCCCGGCTCATAGAGTAGCATCAAAGCTAGCAACCCCCCGCGGGAAACTATTCATGATCAAATGAACATACACCACGAGATAACAGACCAGACGCAAATGAATCTGTTTCCCCTCATAGATGCGGGGTTCATATATATGTATATAAATACAATGACCTTAGCAAGTGTATATAAGACTCGAGCATGTTCCTGCGAAAGCTACAAACCACTCATCACTCAACCATCACTACAAAGCCTTCACAATGCCCAGCCTCGTAGAAACCCCCGAATCTCCCTTCACACCCAAAGTCCAATCCAAACTCCATGCCAGCAGGGAGAAGGCATCTCGGGACTTCCGCTCCGATGTGGTCACCGTCCCTATCGAGGAGATGATGACTGCCATCCTCGAAGCATCTGTCAACGATGACATCTACGACCCAGAAGGCGACCCTTCCGTCAAGGCTCTGGAAGCACGTCTCGTAGAGATGACGGGTATGGAAGCTGCTCTGTGGGCCATATCAGGTACCCAGGGAAACCAGATTTGCCTGAGGACGCATCTCACACAGCCACCGCATAGTGTTCTTCTTGATCATCGTGCGCATGTGCATTGTTGGGAGTCTGGGGCTTTGCCTGTTATTTCTCAGGCGAGTGCTACGACTATCCATGCTAAGAATGGAGTTCATTTGACGTTGGAAGACGTTAAGAAGAATATTATTGCTGATGGGAATAGTATGTTATCCCCTTCCTCGCGACATGTCTAACAGAAAGCTGACCATTGCAGTCCACTTCCCACCCACCAGAGTTGTATCTCTGGAGAATACCCTCTCTGGAGCAATTCTACCGCTTGCGGATGCACAAGAAATCTCGAACTATGTCCGCTCATTCCCAGTTCCAGAAGGCCAGAAACCCATTGCCATGCATCTTGACGGTGCCCGTATCTTCGACGGCGTGCTCGGAGAAGGCGTTGATCTCAAGGCGTACGCAGCATGCTTCGATAGTATATCCATCTGTCTCGCAAAGGGCATCGGCGCCCCGATGGGTAGTGTGATCCTCGGCAAGAAGTCCTTCATCGAGCGGGCCAAGTGGTTCAGGAAGATGTTGGGAGGAGGCACTCGACAGCCAGGAATGATGGCGGCGGCAGCTCTGGCAGCTCTAGAGTACAGCATTCCAAGGTTCCCATCAGTGCATACGATGACGAAGGAAGCTGCCGCGAGACTTGAAGCGGTTGGGTACCGGTTTGTGCTTCCTGTGCAGACCAACATGATCCTACCCGATATTGAAGCCGCCGGTATCCCACCCGCAGCATTCGTCGAGTATTGCGCAAAGGAGAATATCGCGGTATTCCCAATGGCGAGACTTGTGTTTCATCATCAGACGTCAGAGGCAGCTGTCGACAGCCTGGTGAAAGCGTTGTCAAGGTTGATGGAAGATAAGAAGAATGGGGTGGCTCTGAACGACGGCGAGGCTCATGGAGGATACAGCTAAAGAAATCCATCATAGCAATGCCAGTGATTTATTTATTTCGATCGAATTTCAATGCATGCATCCAAGGGAGGAATGATCGTTGCCCCCATCCATTGTGCCTTTGGTCGTTCCTCGATCGTCTTGATATTGTAGTCGAGAAGCAATGCAGCCCCGATGAGCTTCAGCTCATGCGCAACAAAGAAGCGTCCCGGACTATATATATTAGCATGCCACAATGGGATCTATCAATGATGTAAGACTTACCATGCATGCCGACCATGACCAAAAGCCAAGTGAATATCACTAGTAGTCACCATCCCCAAACCTCTTATTCTCTTCCCTTCCTCCTCGTTTTCTTTCTTCTCTTCGGCCGATTTCATCTCCCAGGCTTCCCTAGGATTCGAGTACCGCCACGGAAAATATTTCATAGCGTCTTTGTAAATATCCTCATCATGGTGTGTCCCTTGCAGATTGACAGTAACGAAAGCACCACGCGGCAACGTCCACCCGTAATCAGGGTTATGAAGGCCCTCAGGCGCAATAACTTGTCGTTCGACGAGATTTGCTGCAAAGTTACTTAGGCGCTGGGATTCGCGAAATGATGAGTCGAGTCGCATGAGGGAGCCAAGATTTTGTTTTGTCCAGTGACCCTCTGCCGGCTTGTTCGCCTCGAGCTCATCCCGGATTGTATCAAGAGCGCGTTCAGAGGCTGGAAGGGACCAGAGATCCAACATCCAAGACTGGCCAGTGAGAACAGTTGTGTGAATAGCCGCAAAGTTTATAGGCAGAAGACGCTTAGAGATGACATATGGATCGAGCTCAAAAGAGTTCCCTTCTGCCATGGCAAGGCGAATATGCCAAGTTATATAATCTTCTGGAGGTGCCCAGCTCTTCATCTCAGGATCGCTGGATTCTTTGCGTCGCATGTCTTTCAAGCGCTGTTCGATGGTTGGTAGTACACGGCGTGTAGCCCCACGCCAGTGAAGGTAGTTCGGAATGGTGATGAGACGGCCGACAATAGGGTGAAGAACTTGGGGGAAAGCGTGTAGCAAGAAGCTATTGCGGACAACGTCATCTGTGAAGCGCACCATGGACTGTATAAAGATTGGATCATGGCATATTGTTTCGCCCACAAGAAGACGATTCGTAACTCGAGGAACGATAGCGAGCCACAGCTCCCATATGTTGAGTTTTGTGAAGCCTTGGTCATCAACGTTACCGGCATCCTTTTTAGCGGCTGCTTTGATTAGTGTCTCGACAGCATCCTTGACAGAACTGTTGACCTCGTCCTGAACAGCTGGGACTAGCGATGATAGATGCCGAGCTAGATACTTGTGCATAACGCGTTGCGCAAAGGTATCCTTGAGAAGTTCCTTGCCGAGAAAGTTGTACTCTGTGTGTAGGATCTTATCATGGGCGTGAGCTGCGGAAAGGATATGATCGGGCTGGTTCATCATCCATGGTATTTGCGATCTAGGGAGGATGACATCGGGAGGACGAGAGATTGGCGACGGAGCAATAAAGGGCAGGCCATTTTTGCCATACTATTTGTGATTAGAGACTTTTTGTAATATTTGTGAGAAGAGAGAATGTAATACTTTTTCATAGCCTTCACCAATCCATGCCTGATGTTGAGTAAAGTAGGCAAGGCTATTTCGAATTCTAGAGAACCATTTCTTGGAGTCGTGACCAAGAACAGGAATATCAGAAGGATATCGAGGTTGAGTGGACAAGTCGACAATAAAAGAGAAGAGTAAAAATAAAATACCATAAATTATAACCCTTGTAAAGGTGATTTGCGCCAAGATATCACCCAAGGAGGTCATATTTGGAGCTTAGATATAAGAAATAGCTTGAGAAATTTGGAGAAAGAAGAAGTGAAAGAAGAGAAAGATAGACATTAATAATAACGAGTTGAAACTACCCCGGTCAAAGCCAAGCCACATTTTTCTTATTATCTGCTTTGCTTTTAGTTCTAGGCCGAGAATGAGTGTATGAGGATGATATGAGGGCGTCAAGAGGCATGCATAAGCCGTGGGCTGATATTGATTAAGCCAGTACTGGTTAGCATGCTCGGCTAGAGAGGAGCCAGGATCACTGTATTACTGAACATCTTTTTAGGTGGCACAACAGAACCGATCAAGGCCATTCCATTTTATCTTTAAAATCTTCTATATAGAGTGAAAGACAGGGAAGTCGTGTAACCGATCTCTTGGCGTTACTTCGCGCCTGTTTTTGAAACGTCTTTTATGTCTCAGATCCAGGATAAAACATTTATTGCTGACGATAACTGGATCAGTTATCGAGCGGCGCTAAGAATTAAAGTTGACAGGGCCCAGGGGTACCCTTCTTAGCGCCCTTCCACATCCCTTAGGTGACTGCCAGACCCTAAACTCTCCATAGTATCAACTCTACTTCTCCTCCCAGATCCTCCAAGCTTCATCAACTCAAGTCCATTCGTGATGCTTTCCTCTCCTCTAATCAACAGTCCAATCTCACCAGGATGGAACCAGTTCATCCAGACGAGCACCAAGAGCATCAGCATACCGTCAAACACAAACACCCATACTTCGCTGCGCATCAAGTGTCCGTCGTTACCCTCGATAAACTCAATTACCCTGAATAGACTGCGCACCCAGATTAGAACGCCTGTAATGTATAGCGTTGCGAGATATGTCTGCCATCGGACTTGACTTTGTGACGAGTTCGGTGTCGGGGCACGCAGCATGCGTACGTGGAAGACGGCGCTGACGATAATGAAGCAACCAAAGAAGAAGAGTTGAACGAAAAGACCTCCAATGATAATCTTTTCACCCATTTTGTTCATATCTTCAACAGCCATGAGACCACCACCTACAACAATTATCAGCATTGTACCTGGTAAACCCTTCAACTTGCATCATACCGGATGATTGGAGCATAAACGATGCCACATCACCAAAGACAAAGAGCTTCGTAAGCCACTTGCGTGGAATCAACGAATGATGTTCTCCATCAGTCAAGAGAATGATTCTCCCCAGAATCATGTAAATCGAAGCTGCAAACAGTGCGGGCGCGATAAGAATCAGGACACTCTGCATGATATACGGGCCCATGGTCCAGCAGCCCGGTTCTTCATTCGTATTCAGTACTCGTCCGATATATCCGATAACCTCACCTAAAGTCACGGCATTAGTATATATCTTCACATCGACTGAGAAAAGGTATAACGTACAGACTCCGCCCACAACCAACGGTATCAAGTACCATGTTCGAGTCCGCCAAAGTTGCAGCACATGCAACAGCGTTGTTATAGCGAAAAGAACCACAAAGACAATGTTGGCTTCCTTCGAAGGTACAAATCGGTAAAACGCCCACGTTGCATTTTCGTAATTAGGGTTGCAGTCCATGGCTGCGATGACTAGGTTCGTTTCGGTATTAAACTAAACAGCAGAACAAGTGATAAATATTGAGTATAATGGACAAACAATGGACAAAAACAGATCGAAGTGCTATTGACAATCGAAAGCACTAGACAAGAAAACTAAAGCCAAAGCTCGATGAATACTCTAAAAGAGAAAGACGCCCAATTCAAACCGCTATCATTGCTTCTTTATACAATTCAACTCAACCAAATACTTACCATATCTATACGCGTATTCATCTCAAACAAATACATACAAAGAATTCATAGCCTCGCCAAGCCAAATCCATCTCTAATTGGCCCTGAACTTCATATAAGGAACCTCTCATTGCTTACCGAGCTACCGAGGTTGTGGATAACGACAGCTGAGCCTCAATCTCAAATGTCTAATACACGATCTACACGGTGTAATCTTTACTAGAACAAGGCTAGCGGAGCCGAGTACGCGTACCGGCTCACCCTTACGAGTATTCGCTTCGGGTTCGGACTCGCTCTACTCTCATCTCGCCCTGCTTTCTCCCGAGAGTTCCATGTGAAAAGCTGATCCTCAGATCTAATCGTTCTTTTGTTCTTATTTTCATCATAGTTCGCATTTCCATTGCCATCTAATCCGAACCCGCGGGTTTGCAAGTCAATCACGTAAACCAATGGCTTCTCGAAGAACTCATACCAAGTCTCGCACAGGCTGCTTGAACTGTAAGCGACGCAAAGTCAAGGTTCGTATAATAAACCACTGTTGCTCCTTTGTACTTATAATTGCAATGTATGACCCATTCGTAGTTCAGTCAAAGAACTAACCATCATAGTGCGATGAAGCTCGCCCTTCGTGCTTCCACTGTACAAGGCATGGTGTGGTATGCAGTCTATCTTCGTCATCTTCCATCGATGGCACCAGCGAAACCTACTCGCCCAGTCTACCAAATCTGACACCTTCAACTCCCTCATCTCTCGATAGTCACCATGTTGACTCTCCCCACCTCTTCCAAGACCACAGTCACCCCAGTCCCACTGACCAAATTGCCCCCTTTCCTCCCCATGAGCTCTGGGCTCGCGACTGCGAGTTAATGCACCACTATTGTACTGTGACCGCCGAAAGCCTATCAATCCGTAAAGACCTGACATATGTCTGGTCAGTTGCTATCCCAAGACTAGGCTACCAGGATCCTTTCGTCATGCATGGAATTCTTGCTATTGCCGCCGCTCAAAAAGCTTACATGCTTCCTGCCAGTCGAAAGACGTATCTGCCATTGGTCGACTATCACCAAACTCTCGGCTCCGAGGGTTATCGTCGCTATCTCCAGCATTTCGACTTATCCAATTGGATGCCTGTTTTTGGTTTCGCCTCAGTCGTTGTCTTGCACATGCTGACTCTTCCCATGCGTATGGAAAACCGTGTGCTTGAGAGTCCCATCACCAACATCATAGAGGTAGCCGGCCTGATAAGGGGTATCAGAACAACACTAGAGCCTGTCTTGGGACGTGTAGTCAGGTCTGAGTTTGCCCCTGTTGTCTTCGGGATCTGGATGCTTGATTCTGATAAAGAATCAGAACGGTAACGACACACCCGCCCCCAATGCCATACCAACACTAGTTTGACCTTCGACACAGATATCCCAATCTTGATAACTCGGCTCTACCTAGAGATACATGGGCCGCCCTCCGAAGACTACGGGCTTTCCAAGAAGCTGATATTCCTGCCACTGGTCTGCAACATTATGCAGAGGCTTTGGACGACCTTGAAACCTCTGTCAGGCTCTTTGCTGCCGCCGGGGTACAAACTGAGTCTGGTGCCGTCCAATTCTGGCTGTATTCTGTTCATGATGGCGTCCTACTTGATCTTGCCGCACATAGGCCTCATGCGCTTCTTCTTTTCGCTCATTATCTCGTGCATTGGGCAGTCCTCGAGAGAAAATTCTGGTATGTGAGAGGCTGGTCCCAACAACTGATGGCCAAGATAGAGGAAGGTTTAATCGGCCAACCAATGTTCCTCGAGATGTTGAATTGGCCTAAACAAAAAGTTGCTGAAGCTCTTGCGTATACATAGATCTTATAGACTCAATGTGCCATTGTGTTTTGCGTACCTCAATGTGTTCAAACTCGAGACTTTTCAGCTGCAATTTTTTCGCGAAATTCAGAAATTCTACAGCCGCCGTGTCATTATAATTCCTTCTCTAAGGAAGTTTACTCGCTACTAGTCGATATCAGCTGCAAGGGGGTCCAAGGAGTATCCCCATGCTGATTTCGGATCATTTGCCAATAAGCCTCTTGACAAGCAAGAGAGTAGTTTTCTGATATTCTCAAGTCGCGTGACCTGCCTAATGTGTTGTTCGCCTTTCGATATCCATCTCTAGGTACATCCTGGGATACATTGGAGAAGTCGCGTTTTCTGGTAGAAGATGCATGAGGTCGGTTGTCAGATACATTGCCAGCAAATTCTTCCGAAGCAGTGTCAAGATCTTGTGGGAAAACTCCCGGCTGCGCAACGTGGGTGTCGCTAGTTTTGCGCACCGATACACTCTCAGATAGTGCATTTACATCGCCTGGCTGTTCTGGGCCGAAAGTCGTTTCCTCTTGGTAACCGCTCGCTTGGGTACCCAGTAAAGGACTCACAAACCTGGGCTCAACATTGCCAGGCCTTCGTTCTTGAGAATCCTGAGGTTCGTGGATAGGTAAGCTTGGCGCGAGGTCTGAGTTAACAGTTGTTTGACTGGTGTGTTGTTGATTCTGACTGTCCAATGCGTGCTTAGCGGCTAGGGCTTGCATGACTCTATCATGTTCAAAGTCCATGCCAGAACAGAATCGCCCAAATAATGATCCAATAGTAATTCCTGATATACGTTAGCTACTACGAGGGCGGTAATTCCACATGGCTTGCCTTTTCTGAGCCATTCAGCAGTATTAACGGTGCATGGCCATACATCTTTCGGCTGGAAGGCTTCAATAAAGTGGCATAGCTCTGGCAATGAAGAATGCCTAGAGTAAGGGAAACAGATCTTCTTGGGCAACACCTCCTCATGGACGGACTTCTGGTTCTTACTGTTCTTTCTCAACTTTTTTACAAGCATAGTAACAACCTCTTTGACCGAATGCGTACTCAAAGTGTCAGCGTCCCAATCCAGAGGTATGTTATTGCCTGCCGAGACTAGCTGCTCTAAACCCTCTCGAAGCATGTCTGGCATGTCGGTCGAAGTAGCAGATGAGGACCGGGCTCTATGAAAGGTTAGCTCAGGCTAGCAAGGTTGATGTAAAGGACGAACAGATTCAAAAGAACGTTTAAACTAGCTTGGTCCAAGTCAAGTTCGGCCCCCTGTTTCAAGTCTTCCCCTCCCCCTCCAACGCCAACCTCAGCCAAGTCCTCTTCTGGAGATAGATGAGTGATGATCGGCTGAATCAACACAGTCGCGGGCTTTGACGCCACTTCACACATGCTTCCCCTTTCGCAGCTGTGTAAGCGTACGTTTGTATCTGAAGTCAGACATCCTGGCTGAGGTGTGTTGCCACACATATGGCCAGTTAATGCTGGCGGTTCAGCGGTCAAATGTACATTCGCTTCGGACTGTGACTTTGGGTTCTTTGATTTGAGCGAGTTGTAAATGTGCAGCTTATAGTTATCGACATGTATCTGTTGATGTCAGACCCAAAACTGGCGTAAATTACATATGTTTTGACTTACGCTTTGGACAGTGCAATCCAGACGTCCTCATAGCCGTAAGTCCAAACTTGAAAGTGAAAGACGGTATCTTTCGGGTACTTTGAAACCTTCTTTAATAATTCGGCTATACCATAGGCTTTTGTCTCGAACGGAACATTCTCAGTGAAGGACGTGTCAAGGTAGATCTTATCGAGGATTTTGAGACCCGATGTATATTCGACAAGGTTGGGGTTTCGGGAAATCGCATTAACGAACCATGGTTCACTTCGAATGTCTCCGGTGTACAAGATCGCTCTCCCGTCACCTTCTACCACTATTCACAGTCAGTAACGTTGGAAGTTAATTACGGCTTCTGTCTTACGAAACATTATAGCCCCAGGACAATGGTTGGCGTCAAAGAGCGTCACCTGGTTTTCTTGCCCTGTGCTCGCTCAAGTGAACAAATAGCAGAACAAAGCATAAAGTAATGAGTGTTCGAGAACACGGGTAAGTTTCCACTGTACGAGCTTGAGCTTATGACTTGTTATCGAGTTCTTGTCATCATTTTGTATAAAATGGAGTTGCTGAAAAGCTGTGAGCTGTGCTTGTATGAGAAGGGAAGCTAACTTAGTGGGGTTGTTACGGCACTCGCGCTGTGACTCTGATTCACTCCACTGGCAGGCGCACCCTGCACGGTGCTTTCCTCCAACACTCACGACCAACGCAAGACGCAACACCAAAACAAGAATCGTGCTCTTAACCTTCTTCCTTGCACGGCCTTGATCAACAGTTTCCCTCTGTGGGCTCATTTGTCCCGACCCGCCCATGTTCACTGCAAAATCTACACTCTCGAATGTGCTTTCATTGTAAGAAGGAAACGCTCATCACACTTTTATTTGTACTACTCATCCATCTCTATCTACTCGCGAAATCGCCATATTCATTAGAGCTGTGGTTGACGAATTATTCTGAAACTGCACTATGCAGCAACAGTCCGTCGCTACCAGCAGTAATGTCCAGTTTCACCCCTTGGGCGATGAAGTAAACATGTCCTTCTCCCAACTCAAATGACTGGTCGTTGGCCTTCACTACCGCACTGCCTCGAGATGCTAGAATGATCTTGGGACCACCTTCACTCAAGGTCTCCCGCTCACCAGAATTCAGATCAGTTGCAAGGACGTTGAATTCGCTGGTAGGGGGTTTGAAGAGCTGGGTCTTTCCCTCTTTGCTTCCCGAATAAGTCTCTGATTGCAGGGTGGTCTGGGTTTTGGTTGTAGACTCCCAGTTTAGTACTGAACAAAATTCATCAGCATTGTCTCGATCCGCCTTGGGGCAGAAACCAGTGTTGAGAACGTTATCGGAGCGCGCCATGCATTCAATGATGTCGCCCTGGATGTAGGCATGGATACCCCCGGCTGGAATGTAGATGACCTCGCCCGGCTGGAGTAGCATATAGTTCATGCATAGAAGGCCTACGAGGTTACCGGGATCATTCGTGGGGAATTGATTCTCGAGCTTCTTGGCGACTTGGGGAATATGGGAGTTTGGACCAGTAAAAGCAGAGTCTGGGAGCTCCCTGATTGCCTGGAAGGTCTTCTTTATATCTTCGTCAGAAGAGGTCAGGATCGTTCGAACGACTTGTTTCAATCCTTCCGGGCTAAGCTTCTCATCCGTGACGGTTAAGCCTCCAGCAACGAGGAGATGTCGCAGCGGCTTCTGGCGCAAGATATCCACTATGGCCTCGACAGGCTTGAAGCCGCAGAAAGCTTCAAATTCAGACAAAGCAAGAGCAATCTCAGGCTTGTGGTTACCGTCAGTGAATGAGTCGGGATCCTCCTTGTGCTTCTTGCTCGAGAACTCTTTATTTGGGTGAACCTGCAAAGGCAATGCTTTCGCAATCGACAGAACCTTGGGTAGGTATGGAAGCTTGCTGTGTCCGAACTTGGTGGTCACCTTCTCTCCAAGAAGCTCCTTAGGATATCGATCTAGAACATCTTGGAGATCTTCGCCTGTGCTAGCAACATAAGAGGGCAGGGTAGGGTAAGTACCCATCCACATCTCGGCATACGGCTTGTCCTCGTCAATCTTAAAGTTCTTCTTGTCTTCTCCGTCCCATCCCGGCGTCTTCTCGCAGAGTTGGGCGGAAAGAGAGTTGGAGCCTTGTTTACCCCATGGGTATTGGTTACAACCGCAACGAAGCTGGTAGAAGGGAGCTACTGATGTTGACATTTTTGTGTGTTGATATAAAGAAAGATGGTGTCTTCTTCTGTGTTTTAATGGGAAGCTTTTCAAGGAAAATGTTAGCAATTATGGCAAGACTCAATTGATATAACGTCGAGTTTCTTCACAGAATGGGTCGTCATCTTGTCATCACTTATCGTTGACGTCAGCCAGTATTGGCGATTGAATCAAGGTCGGACATGCGAGGCTCTTCAGCAGGCCCAGTATAATTACATCACTCCGTTGAATGTCGAGTCTGCAGAGTTACGTACAGCTTTCCTCAGAAGTCAACTCAGACTTGGCTTATCGAACGAAGTTTCAGGAACTCGATCCCGATGCGACCGGACATATACTCCGGCCGTGGCCCGCTTTTCTACTATAGGCTCCGAAAACTCGGGAATTACATCACGGACGTTACGGCGACCAGCTCTCCATTTGTTGATGCACAGATTGAACCACTCACATCGTTTTGTATACTTTCAAGATAACTCATATCTCATACATATGTCAAGCTAATTGGGTTAGTTTGGTCTTGAAGTCGCTTCTAGCTAGTCTTATGTAGAAAGAACACTACCCTAGAGGCGCAGATTGGGTTGTGTTGAGAACAATGCATATCAGAGTCTACTTGCCTCTGTTCAATTTCGAACTGAGCTTTGTGCTGTACGCCATTACTCTGATTAAGGGTAAACATGGTTACCACTAAGTAGCTGTGATGAAAAAAAAAATATCAAAAACACTGGTAGCTAGCGGAGTGTAAAGAATTCTATCAGCACAGCGGGTTTTGGATCAGCATCATCAGCTTGATAGTCAGGTTCCTACGTTTGGGCAGCGGTGGACCACAACTGTAGTCTAGCCTTGTGATCAGGAAACGCACATTCTCGGTTTAATTGACTAGATTACTATCACATCCGTCGTTACTATTGAGTCACACTCACTCCAATGGACTGGCCCTCATACTCCGGCACTTCGGCGCAGTTTGCGGTGTGACAAGATAATCTCGTGGTTAGCTTGATATGGTCTGATGTAACGCCACTCAGCTGCAAAATGTGAGGACATATCTGCCTGATGGTATCCCAGAAGACATATTTATGAAAATGCAAACATACAGTCTGTACCCAAGAGAAAAGTGCACAGTGAATTATGTTGTATCTCTATCTGAGCGCATTATGAGACACTTGATACGCATGTCATATGTCGACATGGTGGCGCACGCTTCAATATAGTTAGAGATGGGGTCGCATAATAGGCCGCGGCGACCCTTTGAAAGGGAACAAGACCCCTGCAGCAGCGGGCCGCTCTACCACGGATTGAAGCGAGACTTATGTTGGTTCTGTGAAGAGTTGGCCAATGGCACACAAAATGAGCGTTCCTGGCTAGGGTGAGGCCAGCGTCACTTGCATTAGCTCCAAATCATCAGACGAGGGTCTTGATGTATGTGAGAGGACATTGGGGTCGAGATAGCTAGAAGAACTCCATGTGAGCAAACAGAAAAGACTGGTTCAGAAATTGTTACACATGTTGAAACTGAGATTGGCGGTGTGAGATGATTCAGCAGGTCACTTGATATTTCTTTCGTGGAGAAATTGAGGACTCAGAACAGAAGCTTGTGCATGAACTGCCATACTGCATAATGAGTGGTTACTTACATGGCATTCTTATTGGATTGTAAATGATAGAATGTGATAGAGGTGCTAGATTCGGAAGAAACAGTTCCGATCAATAGTCTTCAACATATGAATGGAATCAAGGATTCGGGATAGATTATACATTCGCTCTCCCTGTAAATAATCGAATAAACGGTGATTGGAAAAGAATCGGTCTTGGCTTACATGATAAATGATGAGCTTCAGTTTTGGAGTGACGATCGGACGAATACATGCTTGCTCGGAGATGATGAGCGACCCACGTCTGATGTTCATAAAACACCAGAGACTTGGATGATATGGATATTTGAGAAAGAACGCGAAGATGGAATATTGAGTTTAGATGTATAGTGTAAGTAAACGCATCAGCATGGCATACGCACCTATGCAATCTTTAACAGGCACCGACATTTCTTACTATCCACGTAAGTAATAACGCGGCTTTTTGCAACCCCATCGATCGCAGCGGAACAAGATGAAGAAACTATGGCGGCGGTTAAAAGCTTGAGGCTTGGACAAGCTTGGAATGGTCCATCTTCAAGATACGGGACGCAAGGTGGTTTACAAGGCACCTGAGCGATGTTACTGGTCGTAGATATTGGGCCTAAGATGGTCCATCAGGCGGTTGTTAATGCAGCCGGGCACTAAATTGTCGGTTTAGTACTGGGGTGGAGATGGTGCTACCATGAGACGACGACGAGGGTTTAATAGGAGCCAGTGATGATGCTATGTACGAGCTGCACTGTATGTCGTGAATAATAAACGTGGTCTTTCATTAAGCTTACTGTAGGCTACTGAGCCCGTAGTGAGTTAACAATGGACGACCTATGGGTACCTGCCCGCTGTAGTAGTTAGGTGGTGTCCAGAACCAGAAGGTGCCTCTTTCTGTGTTCAAAAGATTAGCTTTGATTTTTAAACTGTCCGTTTATTTGGTCCGTTTGAATTAATAACAAGCCTCTTGTCCGGCATCAAAAATGTATTGCGCTGTTTTCATTTGTTCTCAACCGCATGCAGTCACAAAGTGTTAGGTGTTGAACTATACCTGCCCAGCGACCTGGGGGACCTAATTTACCGCGCTTCGTGACCCCCCTGGAACTGGATTTCGTCACCGCCGTACGCCAACTGGGCCTGGCAGACCCCGCTCTCCGACGACCTCGACCTCGACCTCGACCTCGACCTCGACTTCAACCTCAACCTTGAGCCTTCAACTCACCTTGACTGACTTGTCCCTGTTCATCCTTTACAACATCTACGGGACGAGTCATTATCGGCCGCGGTGTCTTTTCTACAATAACTCCTCGTGTCTCTCAAGGTGGCACCACACATCGACCTTCCCTGCCAGCAGTGCAGCGCAGCCTACCTAGCTGCATCTCCCACAAGCTTATTTGACTCTACAGACCTCCTAGCTCTTGACTGGCCTCGCAGCTTTGTCCCCCGCTACCGCCCCCAACTCATCCCCTACGACACGACCCGCCTCTTCTCTCGTTGCTGCCACGCACGTCGGACCATATACATCGATCGGGTCGCATTGCAAGTGGCCAGCCGTTCATCGATCTCAACCGTCTAGGACAGATCTGTATTTTGCTCCGCGGGGTCATCTTACTCGACATTCTGCAACCATTAGGTAGCCTAGCTGTATTGTGCGACCGATCAACTTGAAGCTCTGACATCTCCACACGAAGCTGCTGCATACCTTGGCTCTCCGACTGTGCCCTTGTTTTCTCGACCGTCTCGACCAATTGCCTTCCCGATCGCGACCATACACTACCCTACTCTCGTCAATTAATTGCCCATCATGGCACAGTCTCCCATGATCTCGGTGCCTCTCAAGGCGACCAACGAGATCGATTGGGTTGAGCCTCTCAAGAGGTACATCCGTGACACTTACGGCGACGATCCCGAACGTTATGCAGAGGAATGCGCTACCTTGAATCGTTTGAGACAAGACGTGAGAGGTGCTGGTAAGGATAGTACATCTGGAAGGGATATGCTCTATCGATACTATGGGCAACTGGAGCTTCTCGATTTACGATTTCCGGTTGATGAACAGCATATAAAAATATCCTTCACATGGTTGGTTTCCCTCAGGCTCATATCCGACTGGGACTTTGCACCTGGTCGGTCACTTGCTTACTTTCGCTAATTTTACTATGGTTAGGTTCGATGCGTTTACCCACAAGTCTACTGCCCAGTATTCACTCGCTTTCGAAAAAGCTTCCATCATATTCAATATTTCTGCTGTTCTATCCTGTCATGCCGCCGCTCAGGATCGCGGCGAGGAGTCCGCCCTCAAAACTGCATACCATAACTTCCAAGCATCTGCTGGTATGTTCACCTATATCAACGAGAACTTTCTTCATGCGCCATCTTCGGATCTTAGCAGAGAGACAGTCAAAGCGTTGATTCATGTCATGCTCGCACAAGCCCAAGAAGTCTTCCTTGAGAAGCAAGTCACCGATAAGAAGAAGCCGGCACTACTTGCTAAATTAGCTTCCCAGGCTGGCTACCTGTACAGCCAAGCTCTTGAGGGGGTGCAAGAGAACGTGACTAAAGCCATATTTGAGAAGGTTTGGTTGTTGATGATCCAGGTAAGCAGACCAACCGCCATTAAATACAGTATTGTCACGCTAACGATACCAGATCAAAAGTAATCTTCTCAATTCTATGGCACAATATTATCAAGCCCAAGCGGACGAGGAACAGGACAAGCAAGGTATTGCTGTGGGAAGATTGCAAGCCGCCGAGACACAGGCAAAAGAAGCAGAACGCATCGCCAGAAGCTTTCCTAGTTCGGTCCCCATGAGCTCAAATCTCAGTGCCGACTGTGGAGGGTTTCTTCAGGAATTAACCAAAAGACATCTCTCCACAGTCCAAAGCCACCTGCAGAGTGCCTTGAAGGATAACGATTATATCTACCACAAAGAAGTGCCTGCTGAAGCGAGCCTAGAAGCCGTCGCCAAACTACCTGCCGCAAAGCCTATTCCTGTCAGCGAGCTGTATGCCGGCCAGGATATCCAGCGCATTACCGGGCCCGACCTATTCGCAAAGATCGTACCATTTGCCGTCACCGAGTCGGCAAGTTTGTATGATGAAGAGAAGGCCAAGCTGGTGCGAGCTGAGGCAGAGCGGGTGGATACAGCCAATGGAGAGATGGCAGCCAGTCTGGATTATTTGAGGCTCCCCGGAGCATTGCAAGTTCTGAAGGGTGGGTTTGATCAGGATATCTTACCTGACGAGGACTTCCGACAATGGTGTGAGGATGTTTCGGACCAAGAAAACCCGGTAACCTTGTTCGATTCACTCAGAACGGAAAAGGACTCCATCCTCTCAATCCTGGACAAGAGCACGAAACAACTCGACATGGAGGAAGGTGTTTGTGAGAAAATGCGCTCAAAGTATGAGAACGAATGGACACAACAGCCAAGCTCAAGATTGACAACGACGTTGCGAGGCGATATTCGGCACTACCGCGAGGCTTTGGATGAAGCATCGAGGAGCGACAACCAGTTGGCAGGCAAGCTGCGACAAAATGAAATGGACTTCGATGAGATGCGACGGGCCGCTAAATCGGGCGAAGCTGACCAGCTCTTTCAGCGTGCTGTTGCCCAGGCACGGGCGAGAGGGAGCAATGCGACTAGCCCTGCCGGCTTGGAACCCAATCTTTTGGACGACGACTTTGACGAAGGACCCAGTGTGATAGACCAGATCAACAGGGTGGAAGATATCCTCAAGAAGCTGAATTCCATTAAGCGGGAACGCAACCAGGTATTGAAAGATTTGAAGGAGAAGGTAAGTAAAACTCGGGATACCTAACCTAGGTGTCGGGCTAACCATAGTAGGCGCACAACGATGACATCTCCCAAATTCTCATCCTCAACAAGAAGTCGATATCCAACTACGAAGCGCAACTGTTTGAGCAGGAATTGGAAAAGTTCCGACCTCACCAAAACCGACTTCTGCAAGCGAATCACAAGCAGTCAGCTTTGATGAAGGAGCTCACAAGCGCATTCAACCGACTGTTGCAGGACAAGCGAGTTCAGTCGGAACAGAGCAAATACGAGACTATTCAACGACAACGATCGTCAGTTATCAACCGATATAAGCGAGCTTACCAGGAGTTTCTCGATCTTGTCGCAGGTCTGCAAAGTGCTAAGAACTGGTACGCAGAGATGCGCGAGACAGTGGAGAGCTTGGAGAAGAACGTCGATAGCTTCGTCAATAACCGTAGATCGGAAGGAGCGCAACTGCTCAACCAAATTGAGCAGGAGAGGTCATCCAACAAGAACTCGCAGGCTGAGATGGAGCGCGAAAGACTGAGAGGGCTCATGGACCGAATGTCAATGGAGCCAGCTAAGCCATCGCAACAACCTCAACAAAGCCGACCTACGCCCCCGTCACAGTACCAGCAGAGCCAAGCTCCTCGATATCCCCAAACCAATTATCAAGGGCAATATCAGCAGCCAAACTCACCACCACCGCAACAGGCTCAACAACAGGCGTACCAGAACTTTTCTCCACCACCAACAACAACCCAGTCGTTTGGACCGCCTCCTATCAACACTTTTGTCCAGCCTACATATAATCCCAGCCAATATGGGCGTACACCTGGACCGACATCGCCCCCTCCGAACCAAACGTCGTTCAACATGAGCGGTTTCCGAGGACCTGCATCACCACCTCCAAACCAGACGACGTTCGGACAGACTCAATCGTTCGGCGGGTATGGAGCATCGTCGACACCGCAAACACAGGGAGGCTACGTACCGCCTGGATTTGTGCCACCACCACCTCCTCCTGGACCTCCTCCACTGGGGCCTCAGCAGACGTTTCACTATGGTAACCAACCTAGCAGCGCGCATCCAAACAGTGCCTATCCTCAATCAGCTATGCCACCGCAACAACAACAGCAGCAGCAGCAGCAGCAGCAAAACGATCCCTGGGCAGGGTTGAATGCATGGAAGTAATTGAAAGGGCAAAAGCAAAGATTAAAGTCTTGGGACGAGTTTTGAGAATCTGGTTATGATATCATCTGACTGAAGAGAAGGGACAATGGGAGGTGGAAAAGCTATGGCGCATTAAAGCATTACGGCTAGAGGAGCTGCGTTGAAGAATACAGCATACAATATTTCACTTGACCTTGCGACATGAAACTCGTCAAGTACAACAAGATATAAGATAAAGGCCGTCATGCTTTCTGCCGAGGTTGTGGTCGCGGCTAATAAGACGTTTATGGCACACACTACGCAGTAGTCTCCGCACCACATTACCCCGATTACCCGAACCGTAAACCCCAACTAGAATCAGACGCTAGACTTATTTGTAGTGAACTGTAAGTAATACAGGCATTCTTAGAGGCTGCTGGGCAGGGTTTATGGGGGGTTCCCCCGCAGAAACAACGCGAGGTTGAAGTGACCTCTCCCGAGCCGGTCTTCGGATCCATTTCCGCGTCACAATCCGGTGCCCGGTCAAGTCCCCGGCGCGTTCAAGACATTCTTTTTCATCCTCTCATGTCCCGTTCGTCTCTCATATTTTATACATCTTCTTTTCATCCTTGGAGACTGCAACTCAAGTACTAATATCCTCCAACGTCTTGTTTAGCGGATTCATTCATCGAGTAATAACCCATAAGACATAGAAGTCTCTTCAATTGCGCTCTGTCGATCAAGGACATATTTCGTCATTCATACTCGGACCAAAGGCAACGCGACAATATAACTAGCTCCTCTTTTCTTTTCCACGACTGAATAGAACCCAATCGCATCTTCACTTCAACGCATATAAACTGTCAAGATGGTGTTAAAAGGCGGCGAGATTGCTGAGCACAACAGCGCAGATTCGTGCTGGGTTATTGTTCACGTATGCACTGATAATCTGGTGATTTACCGACTTTTAGCTGACTTGAAATTCGCGATAGGGTAAAGCATATGATGTCACAGAGTTTCTACCAGGTAAGGATTGTTGAAAAATAAAGACGAGGGCATCAAGCGAGGCTAACGATTTTTGCAGAGCATCCTGGAGGTCAAAAGATTATCCTCAAGTACGCTGTACGTCTCATCCGTCGCATTGAGCTTCGCCTTCGATATCTAACACAACACAGGGCAAAGATGCCACCGAAGCATACGAACCCATCCACCCTCCTGACACCCTCGACAAGTTCCTCGAGGCCTCCAAGCATCTTGGTCCTGTTGATATGAGCACCGTCCAGCAGGAAACCAAGCAGGCAGACCCCGAGGAGGAGGAGCGTCTTCAGCGTGTAGAGCAGAAGCCTCTCTTGTCGCAATGCTACAACCTCTTCGACTTTGAGGCCGTTGCTCGGCGCGTCATGAGCAAGATTGCGTGGGGATACTACTCAAGTGCTGCTGACGATGAGATTGTATGTTGACTCCAACTTCCAGGGCGATTGATCCACTAACACCTCATAGACAATGCGCGAGAACCACAGCGCATTCCACCGCATCTGGTTTCGCCCTCAAATTCTCGTTGATGTCGAGAAAATTGACTTCTCGACCACCATGCTTGGCACAAAAACCGATATTCCCGTTTATGTGACAGCCACAGCCCTTGGCAAGCTGGGTAACCCAGAGGGTGAAGTTGTGCTTACTCGCGCCGCAGCCAAGCACAACGTCATCCAGATGATTCCCACTCTTGCGTCCTGTTCATTCGACGAGATTGTGGACGCCAAAGCCGGCGACCAGGTTCAGTGGCTGCAGCTATACGTTAATAAGGACCGCGCCATCACCAAGAAGATTGTCCAGCATGCTGAGAAGCGTGGCTGCAAGGGTCTTTTCATCACAGTCGATGCGCCACAGCTTGGTCGACGTGAGAAGGATATGCGATCCAAGTTCACTGACCCCGGCTCTCATGTCCAGGAAGGTCAGGATACAGACAATAGCCAGGGCGCTGCACGAGCCATTTCGACTTTCATCGACCCTGCTCTGAGCTGGAAGGATATCGCCTGGTTCCAGAGCATCACCTCCATGCCGATCATCCTCAAGGGTGTCCAGCGCGTTGAAGATGTCCTCAAGGCTATTGACTACGGTTGCCAGGGTGTCGTACTGTCCAACCACGGTGGCCGACAGCTCGAGTTTGCGCGATCTGCTATTGAAGTTCTCGCTGAGACTATGCCTATTCTCCGGGAGCGCGGTCTTGAAAGCAAGATTGAGATCTTTATCGACGGCGGTATCCGACGTGGAACTGATATTCTCAAGGCGCTCTGCCTCGGTGCCCGCGGTGTTGGTATCGGACGACCTTTCCTGTACGCCATGAGCACGTACGGTGAAGCTGGTGTTGTTCGTGCTATGCAGCTTCTCAAGGACGAACTCGAGATGAACATGCGACTCATCGGCGCAAACAAGATTGAAGATCTGCATCCTGGCATGCTCGATCTCCGAAGTCTGTTCCAGCACTCTGCTGTGCCTTCGGACAACCTGTCATCTACTGTCTACGACCCTCTGGCTGTGCCTGCGCAGAGACCCAAGGCCGGACCTAACCAGGATGCCCCCAAGGCTAAGCTGTAGAAGAGCCACGGCTGGCTCAAGAAATTCCTAGAAATTGTTCATTATGTGGAGTTAGTCTCAGGAGTACACAGAATTATTGATTAGATGAGCGTTGAATTATATATAAACAAAGGTCTTGATAAGTTTAACCACGCTATGCAACTAGTATCTAATTCATTACTCTTCAACAACCCTTTTTCATAGACCTCTAGAGAACTCTTGCAGGGACATTGGCTTCCTCACAGCATTATTCAACCCTTCATGATATGTCACCCACACCTTACGCTCCTTTTCATCTTCCTTCGCTTTTTGTTGCGGGGTATTTCCAGTGATTTCAGCAAGTGGCCGCACCTCGATGATCCGGCCAAAGAAATCGCGCTTAATGAGCGTAGCATCCTCTTTAGCTGCGAGCGCAAGCTTCTTCTCATTCATAAGTTTGTCCGTATTCATCATCTCAACGTGTCCAAGAGGGTTGCCAGCTTGAAAGCGAGCTTGCCGAGCAAGAGCCTCTCGCTCTATCAGCGTCCGCTTCAATTCCTGGTCGAGGACTTGGCGAACAGCATAGCGTGTTGGTGCTGCAGAGGGCAGAAGCAGTGCTGCACCTGTCTCGAATGTGGCCAACACATCGAGGTCCCTATACGAAAGTCAGTCACGAGCATTTTGTACATGTACATGTTAACTTACGGCTCCATGCGGTACACGTATTGCGGTGTTCGATTTACCGGCGAATCACTCTCAATCCTTCCCTTCTGCAATTCAATACCAACTTCAGCAAGGACTTCAGCGGCGCGCTTGACCATAGCACGCTCGGTGTCTTTGCGCACACTGGCTATGGAACCTTGACTTCCACCCACAACTACAGGCTTGACATCCGGAGACACGATGCGCGCCAAGTACGGTAGAAATTCTGCAGAGACCTCTTCAGCACTCCGGAACGAACGCATCAGCGTGGGTGGGAGCTGAGCCTGTATTGCCTGAAGTTGAGCCCTGTTTTGACGTTCCGCTTCATGAGCTTGGTAGTCGGCGCGAGGACCAGAAAAAGGTAACGGAGGACCATCGTCTTCCGCATCACCACCCCAACGTCGATCGTAGCCCATACTGGGAATATATCGTTTAGGAGATGCGAACAAATGGTGACATGCTAGTACAGGTTGGCTGAGATATTGCGCTAGCTCCCATTCTTGACTGGCATATAGACGAGATTGGCATGTATCGTGGAAGTGCATCCATTCGTATGCTTGATTGGGTTTGGTGAGGTAGAGATCATCGTTGTAGTCACGATTGGGATATTCGGCAAACACCCCAGTCATGATATGGCTGATTTCGCCGCTTGTGTCGATCATTTGTTGCAGTCTTTCCATGGCATGTTTCTTCTGGAACTCTCCAAATCCAAGTTCGGCTTGCGGCTGTTCATGCTGTGTTTTCGATTGCGAAAAGTCCATGGCTCGCTTCGGAAAGCCACCTCCCTCCTGGAAAAGTCTGGAGACGATGTCTTTGACACTGCCGCGACCCAGACCGCGAGCACCGCCGGCTCCACTGGTAAGATCCTTTAGTACATTGTGCTCCAGCCATTGTCGAGTCAGGCGGGCTGTACCATTCAATGCTGATGCTCTTAAACGCCCAGCGACCCATTCGCCAACTACCATAACACCACGAAGATCACCCTCCACTGTGCTTTCAGCTCCCCGTTTTGCATCGATACCGCTTGTCATGCCCCAAGCTGCTTCACACAGCTTTCGAGCAGCGTCTTTGTCGCAAGGAATGCCTTCTTTCTCAAAGACTGCTTTTAGTCGTGCAACAACCGATTCCATGGTGGGCTTGCCAACATGAATGATTTCTGCCAAGTTTGACTGCCGCAGTGGTCGAAGTGCCGGGGCATATACGTCGTTGCAAATAAGAATCAGTGGGCGTAAGAGTCTGAAGTCGTCGCCCTTCTTTTTTTTCTTGTTTCCGTAATTATTAGAAGATGCATTGCCTGGGTCATTCTTTTGGTCCAAAAGTACCAGATCTATCAGTGCCTTAACAAAGCCACCTTCACCTGAACCCCCTGAGCCTGAGACTACACCATCCACTTCGTCTACAATAACGCAAGCTGGTTTCGCCAATTTTGGCGGCCCATCACCATCTTTACGATTGCTGACTGTCTTGACGCTTTCTGTTCCCAAGCTTGTACGAATACGGTTCTTGACCACATCACGACTTCGGTCGTCACTGGCGTTGATCTCCATGATATCGTACCCTGCTTGTCTAGCACAGACATGTGCCAAGGTGGTCTTTCCTAATCCCGGTGGCCCTGTGAGCATAAGAATCTTCCTGTGAGGCCTCTCCTCCTCTTCTTGCTGTTTTGCACCCGGTCGTCTTGCAACTGTCGGTTGCGACTTTGATTCTCCCGGGAATACCACAGGATCCCACTTCTTTAACCATCGCAAAACCAACCGGTTGGTAGCATCATCACCACACAAATCCATGAAGTTGCGAGCTCTGTACTTTTCTGTCCATAACAGAGTTCGCTTAGGCCTTGTACCTCCGGGGACCTGGGGCTCGATCGACTGTACTGGGACTTTGTGCTCTTTTGGGGCTTTCTCTTTATTTTTGATCTCGGCAGATGCAGCACTCATCAATTCGTGAATGTCAATACCGTAATAGCTTCGCTTCGCTCGTCCCTCTTTTGTTTTTGATCGAGCTGCAACCATTGCCTCATATGTGGGTGCGGAGGCTATCTTACGTTCCTTAATTGTCTTGGTTTTGCCGTTGCAAGTTTTTGCTGTTAGAGTCTGTGGTGCAAAGCTGCCAAAAACGGAACTTGAAAAAATTGGTCTATGGCTGAGGCGAACAGGCTCTTGAATTTGTATGTCGGGAGTGATGTTGTTTGGCTCAGAATCGACAAGGTCAACAACTGTGCACTCATCTTGCTCTGTTGTGTTCGAAGACTCTCCTCGTGGATCTTCGGTCCTTAGGCGTTTTGTTGTACGAGTAGAGTCTGCAGGCTCTTCGCTATCGTCGGAATCGGAGTCGTCGTCCTCAATAAGGAATGGGCCTTGAGGTTTGGGTTTAGGAGGGCCATGATCGTGGGGTTTAGAACGTTTCGCCGTCGGAGGAGAATGGGGAAAATTGATAGGGGAAGATGCTGACAACATGCTGAAAACTATGTATAGCAAGTGCTAAACAAGGAAGGATGTTGTTGCTGGAGAATTGTCGAAATGATAGTGTTGAGGGTGGGACTGAATCAAATCTCCAGGGCATCTCCAGGTTAGCGACGCGTCGTGTTTAATTGAGTCGCGTCTCCCCATAAGTTAATTGAGCCCCCACTATCTAGTGTGAAGATGATTATGTCAGCCTGATGATTGCATCTTAAACCTCCGTGACCGGAGCCGCGATAATCCGGTGGGCGGCTGAATTGAAGCCAAAAATTTGGCTCTAACAGCATAACCACGACGAGCCAGATCCCAGCACCGTGGGCCTCAATCTGTCAATATGCGTCGGCCTACGAAATATTACAGTCTCACCAGGCCGGTAAGCTTGTGTTCTCCTCTTAATTGACCTGCTTCCGATAGGTCGAACCCCGCCAGACGAATTTTCCCCAGCTAACCGACACACGATGTAGAAACTCAGGCAATCATGGAACAAGTATAACTTGTTTAATATTGCCCGTGCAGCCGGCCGTGAGCCACCAGTCAAGGGTCGAGCGACTTTCTTCCAGCAGAAGTGGGCAGCCAAGTCCAAAACCCGAGGTTACCACGGCGAGCATGTTTCTGAGAAGAAGTGGGTGCGCCTGTTTTCACGACGACTTTTATCCGCTGTAGATCTTCCTCCCCAGTACCTTGCCGCCAACGATGGTGCTGAGCAAGCTGCTGGTCGTGGTTCAGGCTTGTCGACATCCGATGTGACTGCCGAGTCCTACTCCCGAGTTCCCAAGGGCAGCGATGCAGTCCGTCCTCCCTCTCATCCGGCTCAGCGAAGCCGTGGTTTCGGCGATGTGAACGATATGTTGTCCGAGCACTTCAAGGATATGACACCCTATATGCAAATGACTTTTGCACCCCTGGAGCGAAGGTTGGACACGGCAGTGTTCCGCGCCATGTTCGCCAGTAGTGTACGACAAGCTCGCCAGTTTATCATCCACGGCGCTGTCAAAGTCAACGGCAAAAAGGTTCGTCTTGTTAAAAGTTCGTCTAGGATACCGTTCTGACATTGATAGATGGTTCACCCGTCATATGCACTAAACCCTGGCGACATGTTCCAGGTTGATATTGAGAAGGTCTTGTACGGAACTGGAGAGCAAAAGAAGCCCAACTCGATACAGGAAAGCCACGACAAGGAGATGCTTGATAAGCAAGAGGAGGCGGTCAGACAACAAGGTCTCAAGAAGCGTTCAAAGATCCTGGAAGCCGTGGCCGCCAAGGAAGGAGAAGCGGCTGAAGCTGCCGAGGCCGCCGAAGCAAAGCTTGGAAGAGGCTCGCTCAAACGTGTCGAGAAAGAGGTGCAGTTGCATCGCATCAAGAATCTCCGCTTAACAGCCCGAGAGATTCTGAAGGGCGACATGAGGCAGCTATCGGCTAAGCAGAAGAAGGATCTGCGGTTATTCCGAGATACTGCTCAGCGTTTGCTGTCTCTCCGCGAAGACCGTGAGCTTGACGCAAATGAACTCCTTAACCAGATCCAATTTCAGATCAAGAAGCTCGATACCGTGGAAGCTTTCCGCAAGGCTGATCCAACTCCTGCGGAGACATCGACCGAGGTCGAGTCTTCAGCTGATGACAAGGTTGCGAAAAAGAAGGAGGTGCAAATCAAACGTTCAGAGTTCAAGAACCAAGTCCTCGAGAAAGGCCTGGAAGGAATCACAAATAAGCAAGATCGGGATCGGGCTATGAACATTCTGGCCACTCACGATCTGACCAACGAGGAGATTCGCAAACTTGTCTACATTCTCAAGAACGACGCCGAGAACCCCATCGACCACTCGAAACCTTATGTTACTCCCTGGCGCCCTCGCCCATTTATGTCCGCCTTCGCTTTCATTCCACGGTATCTCGAGGTCAACCCCAATATCTGCGCTGCAGTTTACCTCCGCCACCCCGTGGCACGAAAGGGAATGGCCGAGGTTCCCACACCCTTCAGTTACTTGACCAACCAATTGGCTCACAACTGGTACTTGGGACGAGGTTAAACAAAAAGCAATCATCTAGGTATAGTGAATTTTGATGCCAGAATGATGCTCGGGAAGAGTTTTGGCAGGGCAGATGGCGTGCCTGTGTAATATACCACCTTTTAGAGTATACGGTAGACAGCCGGATGTATCTTGTATGTAACACCACTGTTAAAATTACCATACGAAGTGGATTGTATACTATTTTACTGGGCTGTGGAGTCGGTTTCTCAAACCGACATGAGCTCCTCTCTGTCAATTCGTGCTTTGACGTTGGTGACACTCCAGGTCCGGAAGAACAGTAGTTCATTAGAATCATGGGCTTTGCTTATGGTCCATCAAAGTCAAACAAAACATGTATGGACCAGAACGTTGTAGAAACCTCGGGCAGGCCCCATGCTACAATGTTTATCAAGCCATGCCAGGTGAACGATGTCGTTCTTCTAGATGACTGACATTTGATTCTCTCGCCAAGTTGAAATTGACTAAACTGCAGGTGACTCTGGACTTACGTCCATCAGCCACAGTTTCGAACAAATGGTCTAGATTGATTGCCCTGTTGGTGGCTGGCTTTACACAAAAGTCTAATCTAAGCAGAAATGAATAGGTTTAACCAATACCTATGAAGGAGAATCTTCTTCACTCGCTGAATGTCGTGAATATCATAACCTAAAGTTCGAGAAAGGCTTGTCTATCATGATAGCACGTTGATAAGAGCACTATTGACAGCTAAACTGTCTGTCCAACTAGAAGGTCCTCAAGGTTGGGAAGCGTTGGGCGTGTCAGCCTGATAAGGTTCAGAACACCACCGTTGATAGATTAGAGTAAGCCATGCAAGATGAACCAAACAGACAGAATGACGAGAATCTCTAAGCGCCCCAAGAAGCACGGACTTCGATACCACACACACGGATAAGGTTGCAGCTCAAATCCCAGCCAAGAGGGATCTTAGACCCTTTTGATATGCTGTTTTTGGCTAATCTGAGGACAATCTGAAGAGCTTATCAGAACGAGATACCCGGTTTGTTTGGTCGCTATCAGAGACCTGGGGCCCCGGGTCTCGTCCCGTCTGCGGGTGATCTAGACTGGTTGTAGATCTCGAGCGGAGAACCAAGCATACGTCGAAATCTGTTGTGTTGGGCTTTACCAGCTTTCTTGTGCACTAGTAGTGAGTAGATCAATTAATTATGGCAACATACTAAGTTTTCCATATTTTAACTCACTTCATTCCCTTGACATGGCCGGATATCCAGGCTAAACCGGAGACGAAGTTGGAATAAAGTGGTGGCTCAGACTTACATAACGCCTTTTTCTTAGTCGCCAGAACGCAAAGGAAGGCGGGACCCATCCACATGTTTTTAGCTTCCTGCCTCCACAGCTCCTGTCGCACGCACGTCAGGTCTTCCTTCTCATTGCTTATTAACCTTACCTTCTGACCGTTCCTGCCGTTCCACCTGCAATAGGGATTAGAGTGCCCGAAGAAGGAACTCGTGACCAGCATTACAAGTCGATACAGAGGCTTGGTCCTAACCAATTGCATTTACATACACGTTGCGCTCGGCTTTTGGTTGAGCTACTGCCTCATATCACCTCACCTCACCTCACCTTACCTCACACCTTGTCTTGTCCTTCGCTTCTCATTGCCCTCTCTCACTCCAGGTCGAATTGCATTGTGTCGCCGATATTTTATATCACCTTACTTATTAGTCGGTACCCTCGGGATTGTCTTCGGCTTTCACTTTGAGGACCTGTCAGTCCACCCGGCAGACAAGACATCGTCGCCTTTCTTCACCAACCAGCCATGACTGATTACCAGATGTTCAATGTCAGGATGAAATAAGCACATGAAGGACAATAAGTTTGTGCTGCAACTCTTGGACCTTGTCTGATTTCTCATTATCGAACCACTGCCCTGTCTATTCGACCAACCGCGAAGGACTGATTTTCGCTTAGCTCAAGCCAAGTCTGTTCTTCGTCAATCTCAAGCACGATTCTGTCCCACACAGTTTGCTGGGTGGGCCTAACCAGCGGGTTGAGCACTCAATCGTGTCATATCATATCACGGAGTATTCATCTTCAGGATTGAATCTTTTATCCTGACCTTTGCCTTTTACTTGATTTGCGTACACCACCATCCTCAGAACTTGCACGCTCAGTATCACCATGGAAGAGCCGCGGCCAGAAACTACGGCGCACACCGGATCGTCGGCATCAACCCCAAGCGCAACGCGCAAAAAGTCACGCAGAGGTGCCGACTCTGCCAGCCAAAAAAGGCGATGTGTGAGCACGGCATGCATAGCGTGTCGAAAACGCAAATCAAAATGTGATGGTGCTCTTCCTAGCTGCGCTGCATGCTCGAGCGTATACGGAACTGAGTGCCTCTATGATCCCAACTCGGATCATCGTCGAAAAGGCGTTTACCGTGAAAAAGTTGACAGCATGAAAGCCCGCAATTCAACATTGCAAATCTTAATCGAGGCCATCTTGAACGCCGAAGAGGAGGACGTATCAAGCATTGTTCAGAGAATTCGCACCTGCAATAGTCTCGACGCTGTTGCTGAAGATATTATCAACCAACAACAGCAACAGCAACAGCAGCGACAAGCACCACAATTGGCAGCACCTTCAACCAATGAAGATTCCGATGATTATGATCAATCTAACGAAAATTATACTACCGATCAGCCTGTGCAGGGCGAAAGAGATCTAGCTCGTAAGATGGGCGAACTCAGACTCGAAAATGGCAATGTCCGCTTCATCGGAGGCACCTCCCATCTCATTTATCTGAGTGATCCGACTCACGAGGGAGATTTTGAGCCAAGTCTGGAGGATTGTACCACGGGAGAAGACCCTATCACATCCTGGACTCGTGTCACTCAAGACTCCCAGCTTATCACTCATTTAATCAACATGTACTTCAACTGGCACTACCCTTATTTCACAACACTGTCAAAGAAACTATTTTTTCGAGATTTTTTGAAGGGCAAAGCTGGTATAGGGCGGGGTACTGCATATTGCTCATCTCTCTTGGTCAATGCTATGCTTGCATTGGGTTGCCATTTTACAAGTGTAGCTGGCGCCCACGGTATCCCTGGAGATAACAGGACAAAGGGTGACCACTTTTTCGCCGAGGCAAAACGACTGATTATTGAAAATGACGAATACGAGAAGCCTCGTTTGGTCACTGTTCAAGCATTAGCCCTCATGTCGGTAAGAGAAGCTGGATGTGCCCGCGAAGCTAAAGGGTGGGTTTACAGCGGTATGAGTTTTCGCATGGCCGAAGACATTGGCCTCAACCTGGATGTGGGCCAGTTGGATAAAGAAAGAATGAGCGATTATGAGATTGATGCCAGGCGTATTACTTTCTGGGGATGCTATCTTTTTGACAAGTGCTGGTCGAATTACCTAGGCCGACTTCCTCAAATACCCAAGAGCTCGTTCAACGTCTCCAAATTTGATGTGTTCCCCGATGAGGACGCCGAAATGTGGTCACCCTACACAGACAATGGATTCGATCAATCGTCCAAGCAGCCGGCACGAACGCGGGCCATTGCTCTCCAAATGTCAAAACTTTCCGAGATTAGCAGCGACTTGCTGGCCTTCTTCTATCACCCAAGCAACATTGGCAGGTCCAGTGGGAAGGCTGTGGAACTCAAGAAGCTGAGTGAACTACATCGTCGTCTAGAGGAATGGCGAAAAGAAATTCCCAAGGAGTTTGAGCCCAAGGATGGCCAATTACCTAACGTACTTCTCATGCAGTAAGTACATTGGCGCCGACGTACCGCAAATGACTGACCTCTTATAGCATGTTCTTTCACCTGCAATACATACACCTCTTCCGGCCCTTCTTGAAATACTCGCCCACTACTTCACCTCTCCCGCCCCATGTCTCGCCCCGTCGTATTTGCACAGCAAATGCTGGTGCCATCTCAAAACTTCTAAGGCTGTACAAGAAACTCTGGAATTTGCGGCAGATTTGCAATATTGCAGTGTATATGGTGCATAGTGCATGTACAATCCACCTACTAAATCTTCCCGAAAAGACTGCTCGAAGGGATATTACTCATGGAGTGAAGCATCTCGAAGAGATCGCTGAAGACTGGCTCTGTGCTAGGAGAACTCTGAGCATTCTGAGCGTTCTTTCTCGAAAATGGAATTGCGAACTTCCTGAGGATGCTGCCTTTGTTCTTCATCGGGCCGACGAAAAGTACGGGACATACAGCACTTCTGACGTCCCATCGCCTCATTCACAAGCGGGTGCTTCGCCCCTTTCCGATGGCGGCATGGGATTGAAGCCAATGGGCGAATACAGCCCATTTCCTCAATATAGTCGAGCCCAATTGGCCCGACCAATGCAGCAACTTCAGCAGCAACCACCACAGCACCAGCCTCAACGATCTGTGGCGGAAACTATGATGACAAGCTCTCCGTTACCGAACAGCATTATTTCCCAACAACAGGGTATGCCCATGAATAGAGGCAATGGGGGCTTTGGTTCCGAGCCTGCGGGTGGATGGGGTTCTGTCCCTGTTACATCATCGATGCCATCTTACCAGCCGGCATTCGCACCCATAAACCGTAACAGTATGGCAAGCGCCGGCACAGGCGTTCCGCCTGCCAGCAACCCCCCAGCATCCAGCCGGGCGATGAGGATGGATGGCCAGGAATGGTTCTTGAACGACAGTGCAAGGTGGCATCAGAGCTTTGAGGCCTGGCAGATGGCCAACAACGGACAAGATAATTCCGTTTTCATGTTTGGCGATAGCGGCAATCAAGACACACCCAACAGCAACGCAGACGGGAACGCTAGTATGCAAGCCGACACCAACGATCAGATAGCCGCGCTGGACGGATTAGGGGCGTCATTATCCCGAGGTGGATGGCTACCAGGTTTAGATTAAGGGGTTTAGAAACTTCGATTTCTCCTATTTTAGATAGTGATACATAAATGAATAGCGGCTCGAACTAAGACTTTCCAAAAGAATTAGACGGACTCGGAGCTAGTCGTCAGAACGGTACAGCTTGGTTTCAGTGGTACATATTAGTTCAACTTTACTGTAAATTTTTGGCTTCATGTGGATGGGGTATAATAGAGTTCAAGCAAGGCAGTGGTAATACAAGGGTGCAAGTAATATCCGGCTCAGCTCTCCGTAATTCAGCTGGATTCTCCGCATTTACCGACCTGAGATATAGGCGGTTACAGGTAGATTGGTTGTTATACGAGACACTGCTATGATTTTGAATGAAGGAAGAAGGAAGTAGAAGGCTGTCACACGGTGAAATGCTTCCATATTCAAGCTTCCAACTTGACACACACGACATGAAAGGTTGTGTAAGAAGCTCCACGTGGTATCCGGGAACTAGGGACGACAGAATATGCTGCAGTGTGAGATTGAGCATTAAAGATGGTGTCAAGGAAAGTCTCGGTGGAGGGAACTGGCAGTCTTTGTAACCGTCAGGTCATCATCTCGACTCAAAGAGCAGGGGGAGCTGCATGGAAGCGTGGATGGGACGAGTGTGGGGGAATCGGGCCGGGAGTCCGTTTCACTGTCGGCGCCACAGCAAGCTATTCCGGTAGTGGACGTCATGAGGGGAAGTAGACTATAATCTGAGTCTGAGTCTGGTGATATAAGTCTCAATATGGAAAGAGTTGGGAGATTTCCTCTTGAGCGATTGGTGATCCAGATGGACCATTTTACTCTCCACTGGAGAATCAAGTAAATTACATGGTAGTAAGGCACAGAACGATGGAGCGGCCGTTCATGTCGCGGTCAGAGTCAAACCCTGTCATGATTCTGGCCGTATGTTAGTAGTAGTGCAAAATAAACCTATTGCAGCTAGAATTATGCTGGAGCCTGGGGTGGCATACTGTACATTCCTAGGCCAAGTCTAATCCGCGCTTCCGGTGCAGGTTATGACAGGGCTTTGAGCAATACGATTGGTGCGCAAATGCGGCCACAAATGCCGGAATAACTACAGGCTACCCAGCAATATAGGTAATCTAGTCCAGCATTGGTAGATGACGGTTACACAGACAAAAGAGTATCTGGGAAATAAGGGCCAATGTGGAAAACACCGATAGTTGAGACATGATGGGACAATGCAATCTCTTCAAGAACCTGGTTCCAAAACTGGAGATTCGAGGATTATTTCATCTAAGGTTGGCCAGAAAGAGGTACGTACATACCCCGGGACATGAAGCTGATTGAGTTAAAAGCTCATGCAGCAAGTAAAAGTGCACTGTAGGTACTGTACCTAATTCCAATTAGCTCCAGTCTCTTGTAGGTTGGGTTGGGCTTGATCTTAAAGATTGGGGGAGAAAGAACCCCCAAGAACCTAAACTAACAACCGTTA